TACTGGAAGATTATGTTCAACCCGGGGCTCCAAAGATGAGAAACAGGAGAATTCAGAGAGTTCATTAAGGTCCTTATTGAGGACAGAGGATAAAAGAGTCAAGAATTCTTTTACGTATTTCTAATGTTAAGTCCTTATTTCTAAGGAGTCCTGGTGTGGCTCTGTGGGCTAATGCGTCAGACTGCAAAGCCGTTTGAATTGCAAGGCCAGTGGTTCAAGCTCACCAGATGCTCCTTGGAAACCCTATACAGGGTTGCTATGGGTTGGAATCGGCTCAATGGCACTTAACAACAACAATAGTAAATAGCTTCAATTGAAGAAAGTACATGAGGAGTTATTTTAGAAAAAAAAGTGGGGAATTACTCAAGTTTAGAATGTTGTTGTTGTTAAGTGTCTTTGAGTTAGTTTCACGGAGCAGCTGGTGGGTTTGAAGAGCCAATCTTGTAATTCACAGTCCAGTATTGATCCTACAGCACACACCAAGAGTCCAAATTTAATATTTCTGTTGTTCTTCTTAAGTGTCGTTGATACAATATCTGGAATAGTCAGTCCTGGGTATGAAAACCAGGGATAATTATGGATTCTTCCCTGAGGTGTATATAATGGAGAGAGTGTTGAACATGTAATAATTGATATATATGTTTCATGAAGATGTGTCTTTTAAGCTAGGTACCTTTAAAAGTTTGTGATTTTTTTTTTCCCAACTCTTAAGTTTCCAATACCAATAGACAAATATACAGTTCTCTCAAATTCTACAGAGAGGCAAGTAATACTTAACCAAATCTACAGTCCTGGTGTGGTGTTGTGGTTTATTGTGCTGGATTGCAAACTTGGTCTGAATCACAATGTCAGTGGTTCAAGCTTACCAGCTGCTCCTCAGACACCCTTTACAGGGTCGCTATGGGAACGAAATGACCCAAGAGCACATAACAACAACAATGACAATAATGTGATGGAATAAATTATAGAAAGTAATATTATCGCTTATTTCTACAGGAAGGATTTTGTGTATAAATATCCTTCTAAATAATAATGTAGAAACCAAACCAACTAACTACAGATTATACAAGAGAAAAGACAATAATACTATGCTGCATAACTTCAGAAATTCATCATAAATAAACCCTTAATCAGAAAAGGAGCTGAAAATACAAAAAGCCAAACAGTTTGGTATAAGGACTTTCACTCTGGCTGCCCGAGTCAATATTTGAGAAAATAAAATTCATCATAGATGACTCCCTACACCTGCATCTCAAACCTCTGGTATCATTTCACTGGTGCCTGATTGGAGTCAAGCCCCAAAACAAACACATGACTTTTTCTCTATCATAAAGTCCTGATGTGGGGCTGTAGAATAAGCACCAGACTACTATCTGAAAGGTCACCAGTTTAAATCTACCAGCCATTCCTCAGAAACCCTATATAGGGTCACTATGAGTCAGCACCAGCTCGATAACACTTAAAAACAATTATAAAGTAACACCCTTTGCTATTAAACGTTCCCAGGTCTGACAACTTCAACTAAAAAAAAAAATTTAGTCCTGTTACCCTTTCTTTAAGAAGCTTTGGTAGCATAAGATTTACAGCCTCAGAAACCCTATTCAGGTCGCTTTGAGTGGACTTCATGGTACACCACCACCAACACCACCCTTTCTTTCAGAGTTCTGGTGTGGCCCGGTGTTGTGGGATAATAAAGCACTGGACCAAAAGGTCGGTTTGAACTACAAGGTCAGTGGTTCAAATTCAACAGCTGCTCCTTGGGAACTCTATACAGGGTTGTTATGAGTCTTGGAACCATCTTAAAGGCACTTAACAACAACAACAATAAAGTTGTCAAAATTAAATGTATTAACTAATCCATGCCAGAAGATGGCATATCCTTAATTAACTATATATCTACTTTTGTAGTGCATCTACTACTGAAAATTATAGACCATTTGCTAGAAGGGGATTGATGGGACATTATATTGCCCCATGCCTAATTTATTATCTGTGTGTTTAGATCAGCACAAGTGAACTAGCAAACAAGAAAAAAAAATCTGAATTTACATATAGAAATCTCTTTTTATTCTATTTATCCTATACCAAATATAAACAGAATTTACACATTTTTTCCTAAATCTATAATGAAATTATTCATTCACATATTCTTTATAATTGTTTATTTCTATGAACACCTGAAAGGGGGAGGATGTGACAGGAAGGAGCTATATCTAATTCACTGAACAATTACAACACACTATCTCATCATATAAATTAGAAAGATTTGTTAAATATATTTCTATAATGGAGAATTTAATTTCCTCTGATTTATTATTTGACAATAAGGAAATTTTTTCAAGGATTTTAATTTTAAACTAAATTAATGACAGGTAATTCCTAGAACAGTTCATTTGTTTTTGAGGCAATACTGGTGAATTGGAGATTATTTGTTAAGTTTTACTAATATTTAAAGCTGCACTTAATTTTTGTGTGTTAAAACACATTGGTTTAGAGGGCAAGAAGAAGTACTTAATTAAGAAAGGTCATTTACATTTAATATGTATAATATTTTATTGTTATCATTATTATTTTAGTTTCATTTAGTTAGAGAGAGTACATTCAAGTAGTATTTGAAGCAAATAAAATTGCTGAGTAGGTACATCATTAAAGTACAGATGAAATTATATTCTGTTCATCTCTCTACAATATATCATAAGTGTTAAATATCACATGATGATTATATTACAAAATAGTCATTCATGACAGCTAATATTTATGTTGCACTTTGCAGTTTTAAGGTATGTTCATTTTGTTTTGATCATTATGATCAGCCCATTAAGTAGAAAGGATGCATGCTATATTCTCTATTTTGAAAATGAGAAAATAAAGTTGGGATGTGATTACTCAAGACCACACAGCTAATAAACACCAAGTTTGCTTTATTTTGTGTTTTCTTGTAATTGTTTGCTTGTTTGTTCGTATTCTTAGAGTGCAATCATAGTGCTGGCTCATTTTTATAAAGAAAGCTATCAATCACATCGATACACAGGTAAAGGCTGGTCAGTTTTTGTAAACTATACCACTTGCCACAAACAAGGCTGAAGATGCAAAAAGATGGATTACTAATGTGTTGTTATTTTCTGGGAAATGTTATTTGCATCTATAGTCTCCCCGACAGTGCTGATAAATAGAAGAATAGTATCAATTTGAGGAATAGGAAAATGCAATCTAATGATTGCGAAGTCTGGTAGGAAAAAGGCTAAATTCCCATGGAAATTTAAATATAATTAAACAGAACTTCTAATCTACCAAGTTATGTGGCCCAGACAAAGGACCTATTTAAAGTTTGAGTTTGCTTGCCCACAGGGCCTCAAGGTCTAGTCACATCTGCAGAGTCCTCCCTACGCATGCAAAACAAAACTTTTTCAGTGCTAGTATTATGTTGTGTGAAATGCATGTGCTTTGGTATCAGAATTATGTGTTTCTCTCTGAAATATGCCACTTTAGCAGAACAAGTTAGTAAAGAGCTCATCTCCCAGATCCGCACTTTCCTCAACCATAAAATGTACATGTCTATCATGCAAGAAACAGTAGTTACTGTTGTTTTAGCTCAAATGAGAACCTGATGAAGGTCACTTACATGACTCCACTGTGTTCAACCATTAACGATGCCTGCAAAACTCTGAAAGGTGATCTTTGGCAGATAGAAAGGCATCATCTAGAACACCTAGAAACCAAGTTTGGCAGTATTCTTCAGGACTATCATATGGAGGTTAGTTTTAGGATATTGTGGAAAGGTCATTGTGAGCAAGCAGTGATAGAAAATTACAATAAAATTATCTCAAAACTGAGAGAATTTAGTCACTATGAATTTGTAGTTATATGTATTTTTAAACTATAAGCATATTCACTGTACCTCTTTTAAAATTAAATATAAGTAAATTAAATTTAGTAAGTGAAATAATGTATTTTAAATGATTTAGAATACTATAGCACTTAAAAACATAGAGTCAAATGATAATGCTTTATTTTCAACAGGAATGAACTAGTTTACAGTTTCCCATCAATTGAACATTTCCCTGTGTTTGGGTACAGTAATTAATATTCTATTAACATTTTAATTTCTTTTCATATGTGCCTTTCTTTAAATTAAACTTCATTTAAGTAAAGAAATTGCTTTATAATATAACTAAAAATATCAAGGAGCGTTTTGTCCTGGAATCCTTAAAATGAATCCTTCACTACAACCTACACAGAGATTTCTACTGTTCCTAATGTTCAAATTCCTTTTGTCCACCCTTTTTATTTATATCTGGAAAAACAATGCAACTCCAAGTTCTGCCTGGTTACAAGTTAATGGGATGACCTTTGCTGTCCTACTTGCATTTCTAGAAGCAGCCCACTCAGTAAGTTAATAATGTTTGTGTATTAGAGATCACAGTCCTTTATCAAGAATAATCATGCAGCTTTACTTTTTACAGGAAATGGAAAATAAAACCTCAACAAATGGAGGCAACCCTTTGGAATAGCTCTCAAAGGGCAATGTTGAAAATTGATCGGGTTACTTGTCAATTGCATTATACAGAGATGACATCAGCACCAAAGCTGTAGGCAAGGCGGCTCAGTGACCAGCCCGTGACCACCTTTCATTAGCTAAAAAACCTACTCTGTAAATATATAAGTGTCTCTAGGACTATAATTAGAGATTAGAAACCTAATTAAGGTAATTTCCACCAGCCTCATTAATAAACACTATACCAGATTCCATATAAACACCTGAACACATGACAGCCAATGCTAACAAAACTTTTCCCACGTATCATTCTAGAGGAAAAGCAGACTTGAGGCTGAGACAGTTTCTATAATATTTTTGTTTTTGTTCTTTTTTTAAAATCCATTTTGTAGATTACTTTGTTGTAACTGAAATCGTGAATTGAAACCTCTTGGCAATGACATGATCTTTGATGTTCTTAAAACTATTCTGTTCCCTCAATGTGAAAAATATCATACTTCTTTACCTGGGGAGTTATGCTCATTGAGAATCACAGGTGAGGCTGGTGTGGGTCTTCTTTTCCTGATCTGTGAACAACAAAGGCCCAGCTAAAGTCAGTGAAAATCAGACACTGCCTTCGATTGACTGTACAGTTTGCAAAGCAGCCCTATCTGAATCTTTTTCCAACACACAAATGCAGACATCGGGATGGCACACAGTAGGCATCCATGAATTTTATTTTGAAAAGATACAAATCTAGGCAGTAGAACTATCAGATGCTGCTATCCCCTTCTTTGATTTAAAAAAAAAAAAGTGTATTTCCTCAGAAAAGAAATTGCTTTATAATATAACTAAAGGCATGGGGAAGACATGTTAATTTCAATGTCTCTTTTGGAGTCTCACAATACTAGAAATGTTTTCAAGACTCATTACCCTTACTTGTAAACATTGTTAAAGAAGCTCGTTTTAGCAATTATCATTATTAGAATTAAAAGAGTGAATTTTTCATTTTAAGTTAGATGTATGTATGTCCTTCTCATTTTAAGAACAGCAGGAGTATATGATTAGAATCCTTTATGCATGTATCCTTGGTTCCTTGAATATACTTCTTCAAGGTAATGTCCCAAAATACATATGGTTAGAATAAAAGATAAAATTTTACAAAAGGCATTAGCTCAGAATAGAATCAATGTCTCATTCATCAAAGAGACATATTCAAGATGGTATTTTTCTGGACTGAGTCTAAGTAAATCTATTTCAAATTAGTAAAACACCCTAGAAAGTTATGAGTCATAGATTCAATAATTATTTTTGAGGCCTAGTGCCAAATATTTTGAAAAATAGTTATGGATAATTTGAGTTTTATGAAATCAATGGATTAGAGTGTAAATTTCTTTGTGCTTGCCTTCTCACATTTGTAGTCCACCACAGATAATCTTTGAATTATATCATGAGTATTAGTAAATATGAAGGCAAAATGTGATGCAAATGTAAAGCAATCTCAGATTCCTTCTATAGATAAATAGCAAAACAGAGAGGGATACAGATATATAGGTGCATTAAAAGTGTAAAAAGAATCTAGGAAATGTTAAAATATTATTTATAAACTCTGATAAAATGTTTTTAAATTATAAGTAAACCCACAAAACCCATCTGTCATGTATTTCATTTATTTAAAATGTATTAGTGCTTTGTATGTATAATGAAAAAAAAAATAGATAAAATATTAAGTAAGTTTATAATCTAGAGTCATTCCAGCATTTAGCTGGAATGATTCACTGCTAAATCAATTTTTTATTTTACAAATAATAAAATCAAAGGTTACTCATTTTGATATTTTTTGAAGGTGTTCTAAATTCTAGAAACATAACTGAAAACTTTTTTTTATCCAAATCTGTATTGCTAAATAACCACTTATCCTTAGTGGGTGCAATTTTAGTCAATGATTTATCCAATGCAACTCAGATACAAGTGTGTATAGAAACCAATCTAGTTCTCATTCACGTATCCTGAAAGTCTCAAGAGGTAGAGAAGCTTTCTATCAACAAAAAGAGCACATTTCGTATTAATTCATATACAGGAATGAGTCCCCACCCAATTTCCCTTACCTGCTCTGATGCTTCAGGTGCAATCTGACGCTGGAATATAGGCACAGCAAATTGTATCTTTTTGGGACTGTTGGGCTCCATGATATTGATGAAAATTAGTCTGAGATGAGAAGAGCTCAGAAAGATAACCCAAAGCAGTGTCTGGGATGTTTCCTCAGGATCACTCCACCAAGACACACAGAGTGAGTGTTTCGTAATAAATAGCTGTAATTCCAGAGTAAGCGAGTGAAGATGCAGAGGTTTGAGTAACTGCCTTCTTTCACATCCACAGTGATAGCTGGCTTGACTGTTTCCCTACCAATCCCTTGGATCCTCTCAGCACAATATGGAAAGGAACAATAAGCTAATTGTGTGCCTCTTCACCACTACACATGCCAAGCATTCACTCAGTAGCTAATTGAAAATGTGATGCTAGCCTTGAAGGACCCACTGCCCTGGGATTTGAAAGAAATGCTCTATCCACTGCGCATTACTAACCGGCTGCTCAAAAGTGCAATGTAAGCTCCCTCTGAGTATTGCAGGGATGGGCCATTCATTATTGATGAACATAAAGCGGGAAGTTTTTAGAGTGGGGGGCAGGGTTGGAGTATGGAATCATTTCATTTCTCTTGTAGCAGCTTCTAAGTCAGACACATTTGCTGTTTCGTGTTCAGTCACCAAATCAATGAATAGTCAGCGAGGGTAGGTCACAACTAATAATATCAGCTATATTTATGCTGCAAGATCTCGTTAGGTCAGACTGAGACCAAGAGGCAGAACATCTGTGGTATATGAAGAGAACACTGCCCCAGGGTTCAGCAGATCTAGTTCAAGTTCTTGTCCTACCATTAACAAGCTCTGTGACTTCAAGCAAATCATAGGCTACATCTAATCCCCTGCTTTCATCAGAAAAATTAGGGGTTTGTACTCACTGACCTTTCAGCATCATTTGGTTCCAGCATTCTTTAATTGTAGTTCAGCTTTCATTAGAGAAGGAAAATATCGGACAACTAAATTTAGCAAACAGCTTGGAAGTCATTGGCTGCTATAATGACCCCAATTTTATTTCCTGGTGGAGCCAGCTATATCCTCTGACTTGGATAAATAAAGAAATGACTAGAAACCATCAGTGGAAATCTAATGGTATCCAACATTGTGGTTTGTTGTCAATAGTGGGATTATATGCAAGCATAAGTATTTCAGAAAAGGCCGGAAAGGGATAACTTCAGAATGATAGAGGATGATGTGCATCGTGGCTGGTAGTGTGGGAAGGACATTGGTTTGTTTTCCATGTTCATAGATGTCAACGATGAGGCAGGTAGAATCATCAGATTGGTGTTATGCCTTCAATTGAGTTTGTGAAGAAAACCTGGAAATGAAATTATTTTAATGGTGAAATAACTTCAGCTCTCTACTTTCTTATTTCTTTTTGTGAGGTTTAAGTTTATTTGAAAGGAACTGTTCAACTAATATCAGTTGCTTTTGCTTTTTGACACCTGTCTTTGGATTTCGAGAACGACTAATATTCAAGGACATTGCTTAATAGCAAAACTGGCTTGCTCTAGCTACTAACCTGATGTTTGGTGATTCAAACCCACACAGCAGATCCTCAGAAGAAAACAAACACCCTGACGATCTGTCTGCTCTCCTTAAATATGTGTTGTTAGTTGCCCTTGAGTAGATTCCAATTCATTGTTTGTTGTTGTTGTTAGGTGCCATCAAGTTGGTACCATAGTGACCCCTTATGTGCTGAGTTGAAACTGTGTTTCAACATAGAGTTTTCAAGATTATAACATTATGGAAGCATATATACCAGTCCTGTTTTCAAATGAATCTCTGTGGGTGAGTTCAAACAGCCATCCTTTCAGTTAATAGTAGAATGTTTAGTCATTTGACACCCAGGGTCTTCCCACAACATTTATAGTCATTGAAACCCCTATGAAGCAATCCTACTCTACAACATACGGGATTGCCATGAGATAGACTCAGTTCTATGACGTAGCCTTCAGTTTGTTTATTTATTTATTTACTATTCCAGGTATTACAAATGAAGTTTTATTTTTATTTTATTTTATTTGTTGCTTTTTAAAAATTATGATTCTTTACCAGGAATCCATCTCTTAATGATTTAAGTATGGGATGTTCTGTTAAAAGAATACAGAAAGCAGTATGCATTATTCAAGTAGTTTTCTATACCCATGAGTGGGGGGAGGGAAGCAAATGGAGATATAAAAGCATTTTCAGTTAGAGAACAGTGCTGACAAGCAAGAGGTCTTGTGATTTATCTTTACAGTATAAGAATTCTTCCTTACAGTGGTAAAGGGAAATTGTAAATTATAATACTTTACATACAATAGTCCATAAAAATCCTTAGAAAGAAAAACTGAATTAATATTATTAACAAAGTTACTTCTCTGAATGTTTCCCCAAATTACATAAAATAAAAATGAGAGAAAAATTTTAGTAAGAAATTAATCCAAAATTGTCACTTAGTGCAGTTATTAGGAGAATGGGCTTAGCAGTCTAGGGTTCCAACTCTAGCTCCATTATTTGTTAAGTTTATGAACTTTGGCAGTAACAGAACTTTCTTCTTGTGAGGTTTAGGTGAATTAATTCTCAGAGTATTCATTGCAAGGCTGGCACATGATAGCTATTCAATAAGACACAGATTTTTCTTTAAAACCGTTTTTCAAAAGGGTTGAAGTTGTCTATTCTTAACCTATATTCCTAAGAATCTCATCTATTTAGAATAATTTGATACCAGTTAGGACAATGAGTGAAAAACAGAACTTGCATGTATTTTGATGGTGTAAATAAAAATAAAAAGCTTATCATAAATTGTCCTATTTTGAATAATTTGACCGGAGATCACATTGCAATGAGCATATCTAAGTACTTTAAACTTCTTGTTCTTCATTAGACTAACTGCTGTGTGTCCTTCAGGACTCAGATAAGGAAGCTTTTATAGACATATTCCCATTGGTATTGGGTACACCTGTGTCTACTGTGTTCTCAAAACACCCAGCATATATCTTCTTAGTACAATAACTGTTGGTCTGTGTTTTAACTGTTTAGCAATTGTCAGCACCGTTCATTTTCATAACAAATATTTTTAGACAATAGCATATACCACACTCTACTCTCTGTCATTTTCTGTGCTATGTCACTAGTTACTGTGAATCACTAGAGGGGAGATTGTGTTAAAAGATGTTTGAGGCCCTTTTCAAGCTACATTGTTATTCCAAGGAGTTATTAAAATGAAACTTGAATATGAAAGAATCCAAAATTATACAAATACGAAATTTGAGTGAAGGGATATAATGGTATTAAACACTAGGTGTGCATTTTCTTCCTATTAGAGTTAATAATAATAGCTAACCCTTACTGGGGAAAAATACGACTGGGGAAAAAAATGCCTCCTCAAAGTAGAGTTGACCGTGATGACGTGAATAGAGTTAAACTCGGGGGAGAAAAGCACACAGAACCTTCATTTGCTGATGGGCCACAAATCAAAATGAAGAGAACCAGCTGTAAACATCCATTGAAAATCGGAACATGGAATGTACGAAGTATGATTCTGGAAAAATTGGAAGTTGTCAAAAATGAAATGGAATGCATAAACATCGATATCTTAGGCATTAGTGAGCTGAAATGGACTAGTATTGGCCATTTTGAATCTGACAACCACATGGTTTACTATGCTGAGAATGACAAATTGAAAAG